TCTGAAAAACTTTCACAGCAATTATCAGGGTGGATCATTTAACAAAGAAAAGCTGCTTTCACTGCTGAGATTCCCATATGTATATATTTGCTTCTCTGTCTAAACATTTGAGAAGTTTGGAAACAATTTAAAAGTGGCCAATGACTGCATTTAATGCTAGACAAGATTTCACACCTCTGGGCTCTATATTTATAGCTCTGTCGTGTTCTTTTATTGTACTGTGCTGAAGAAGAGGATTTTTTTTTCTTTTCTGATGAAAAGGTTGTCTGTCATGGTGCAGTTATTGCAGCACAAAATATTGCCTAAAACTTGACCCTGAACAAATTTCGCACAAGGGCAGTTTACCCCAGAATTTGAAAGGAAATGCAAACCCTCTCATTCTAGCCAAAGGAGGAAGCTTTTCTGGGTATATAAAATTGGGGTAATTCTAAAATTCATTCATGGAGCCACAGCTCTAAATGCACTCAGCCTCTGATTTCAGCTGAACCATTTTTCTCCCACTGTTACTCTGCTGAATTCAATCACGTTAATATGGATTTTCAATGTGGTGAGATTCAGAATTTTTTTAAAAATGTGTTGTTTGAAAAAATTAAAAGTACTTTCAGCCTTATCAAATGATGCTGTGCTAAAACACACACCATAGCCTTGGCATTCAGAGAATGGGCACATTCTGTGGGCATCACACTAGGTAGGGACCCTAAGACAGGATTTCCCATTTCTGTCCCATTATATGATGCTAATTCTTTCTGTCCCACTCCTTGCTATCTGCAGAGCTGATCACCTCCTGTGCATTCAGCAATGACACGGAGAACTTGGGACAGGCCTTCAGCTTCAACAGCTGGAGGAGAGGAGGGAAACGGCATGACACAGAGCTTTTAAGTATTATCCATTATTTAACTTAAGTAGCTGATGAGTCCAAAAAAAGTAAATAAACATTTACGGTGTTCTTTTCACCAGTGTGGAATAGATCACAGCATGATCTGTACCTTCCCAGCTGTCTTTCTAAAAGTTTGACTGCCTTACTGTATTCTACCTAGTTGGGACTCGTACTGCTTTACTGTAATTATGTTTGTGCTCAATGGCTGTTACCAACCAAAAATGGGAATCATTTATAATGAATTAATACCTTGAAAATTTTCATATCCCTTTCCATTCACATTGTTCATGAGCAGACTGTGAATTTTCTTTTCCATTATTCATAATTACTCCCAAAATCATTTGTGGAGGAAGGGTAATATTTTTCCCCTATGTAGATAGTTCAAAGGTAAAACATAGTATTTGTCCCGTAGACAAAAGATGTGCTGCACACATATGCTTGTTACGTGGCACTGTTTCTTTACACTGATTGAATGAAAATGATTAATGAAAGTTCATTCAAAAAAATTACCTTCCAGTTATCTGTGTTATTCATTCAGGTTTTTTCCTGCAAATAATTTTAAGTATTCTGGTTCACTCACTATGTCAAGCATTGTATTTATTATGGCTCTAGCTATTAAAATAGCTATTAGAATAGCTGCCGAAGGTGAGTGCAACCCCTAGCCCCCTTAAACACTGCACAAGTAATATTTAATGTGGAAGCTTATATATGTATTTCATATATATGTATATAGATATATGTATATATATATTGTTAATATATAATGTATATTATATATATGACTGGCAAACCAGCCCAGTGGTTTATTTTGCAGTGAGATACAAAGCCAAAAGGAGTCTGTTTTCTCTTGCTACCAAAGCCCAAGGTGACAGAAATTTGGCGGTGCATGATCCCATACACTCACAGGCCACTATGCTGGAAGTCCAGGGCATTAAATTTAAGCATCATTGGACATGAAGCTATACTCTAGCCTGGTCCTAAAACTTCACCTAAAATTAATCCAGAGCCAAATGCCCTCATCATATTCCATCTCTTTGTGACAGTTTTTCAGAGTAAGCTAAGTATATTTGGCTAATTTAAAATCCAGTGTCCAGACCCTGCATCAATTGCTTGCTTTCTAAAAAAAAAATACACAGGAGATGCTAAAAGTCTCCGAAACATTCACAGTGCAATTCCAAGCTAAGCCAGCAGTACAGGATAGCATTCACATAGAATATGTATTTTTGATCATGTGCACTGTACATCACTAGGATAGTGGGTTGTTTCAATTAAAAAATAAAAAAATAAAAAAAAATAAAACAGAACAAACTATAAATGAAAGGCTCTTTTGGCTCTTTTACCCAGTTGGCCTTGTGTTGTGCTTTTGCACAACAGGATTTACATAAAATTTTTCATGCCAAGCACAAATGTCCTCTGAATCCTGGAACTGTCATGTTACTTGATTCAGCAGAAAGAAGAGGTGCCACAAAATAATGTTAAATCTATTTTTGTACCAGGATATCAAGAGGAAAAAGTCAATTTTAGCATACCGTGTCAGCAAACAGTAACCACTTTCACACAGTCTTTTTGAAGTTCAGTTCTTGTGTTCCAACTTCAACTCCATAAAGCTGTAAACACCTTTCCCACACCAGAGTTGCTCCAGAATACAGATCGGGGTGCTCTGACCACTCAGTTGGTACAGGAGTGATGTCTGTCTGGTTCGCCTTGGCCTGGGGTAGTGTAGCCCTACCATGCTGGCTGTATGGCTTCATGGTAAAATGTGCACACAAAAGCCTCCTCCAAGGTAAAACCAGAAAGGAAATACAAATCTCAGCCTCTGCCAGGCCAAATAATTTACCTCCAGATGAAGAACTGCTGTTCTTTACCACTTCTTTCTGAACAACTATTCAGCTCTGCATGTTAAGAGAAAATGTTTGAAATACGGAATTTTCAGGTGAGGGAAGGGAGAAATTCAACGTTCTTTAAAGAGGGTTCCTATGAAATCAATAAATAAATCAACACTGGGTGTGGTATTGAGGTGCCTCCCTTTCATATCTCCCCCCCACACACACCATGAAAGCAATTTCCAGATGGATTTTCCCTAAGATGTTAAACATTGTGCTAGTTTTAACGCTGACTGAAGCAAGGTAGCAAGTGGTTATTAAGGCCTGACATGCCTGTTCTGCCAAGAAACAGCATGAGCTTTCAACTCAGAAAACAAGGTTAACTTTGTTTTTTAATCAATCTGCTCTTGCCTGCCTTGGCCAGTTATATGCATGCCTGCTCATAACGGAGAGGCCTGTTAATTTATGGTCAGCTTATTTGTATTTTTCTTAGTCAAGGCCTGGTTTAATAAAGGTGGAAGCAACATTCAGCCCAAAGATTACTTTTCTAGTCGGGGAAAAAAGAGACCCACTCAGTTCTTTTCAAGAAGTGCCTGCTGGCACTGGCCCCACAAAGTTTTCTGGTTTTCCCCTTCAGTGCCTTGTGAAGACAGCCAGGTAAGCTCAAGGCTCACTGCAGTTGCTGCCTGCCTAAGCCATTATCTGGGAGCCATTGCCTATGGGCTTCCTACTGGAGCGGTTTAGAAAATGGTAGCAGGTCATTTTGACCATTTCGAATGATTTTCAGGTTTGTGAAGTTGGTCATAGGACTCTTCTGGTCCTGTGTCCTGACTAAAACTGAAACTGAGAAGGAAAGTATCCTTTCACCTACAGTGTCTGCGTCACACTTTCTCCATGTCACTTGCCTTCATTTTCCTGCCGCACATCTAGGTGTAAAATGGCATGGCAGCTTAGGCCTGTTTCCTTCTACCAACCTGTAGCCATGCAGCATGCTTTAAATTAATCTGTCCCTACAAGAATAAAAAACTCAGAATGATAGTTTGCCCTTTAACAGATGGTTTGCTCATTTGAGAGTCTCTCTTGGCTATGTGCAATAGGCAGTTTGTCTAGTCGTAGAGCTGATGTTCCTGATCATAAAACAAGAAGCTGAAGCATTTTAGCTACAGCCAAGCTAAGGCGATGTTTCCATTTTCTGCCTGCTTCTCAAAGTACATTTGCAAATGAGAAGCACAGTCTTCAAATGTTCATCCTTAGGATGAATTCTCGTTTCATCTTCATTACCTGATGGACTCAGACCCCTTCCATCAGATCTGAGGCAGGTATACAGGTCCATGTCATTCTAGTGTGATGCAGAACCAGCAGTGAAAATGGGATTTAAATGTTGATGATGCAGGGTATGTTAATTCAGTTGAATGTTGCCTGACAAATAACGTGTAAATTGAAGCATTATTCAGAAAGGTGTGCACTTTGCTTAAAAATAAACCTGCAGTACTCAGAGTCTAAACATTTCTGTATTCTGTTTCCAGTGATTAATTTACCTCAATTTCACTTGGTATTCTTTTATTTAAATCCAAGGTTTGTGTGGTGAAAATGATGCTGTTAGGATGTGTGCTTGTATCTGTGCACGTGTAGGCCCATGATTGTTTCCACCACTAAAGCAGCCAATATAGATATTGTTTTCACAAATAAGTTACTATTTTGGTGAAGCATTCATCTGTAAGGAGAGGAAAACTTCTCAACAGTCTTAAGAAAAAATTGTCAGAGGTTTTTGTTTTCATATTTTCTAGTTTTACACTCCTCAGTTACAGGCCTGTGTTGAAGAATGTCTTCAAGCATCAGAACTTCTGAAAAGAACAGGACTATCTGCTAATACAGGAATAAATACTAATGTTAATTAATACCAGATTTCATACCTACACTTCCTAATTGATTTCTGTCTTTAAATTCTTTCTATTTAAGCATATTCATCTGGTTTGTATAGCAGCATCAGTTATCTTCACGTATCGCATGCTGTTAAAACAGTTCTGAAGGGCTAAAAGAAGCAAATAAATGTATTTGTTGTTACGACTGACCTTAGACATACAGTATGTGAAGCTGCAGGAATCATAGACTGAATCGCTGATGATAAGTATGGTGATAACTGGTAAGACTGTGCTGAACTACTGTGAAACAATTCAGGTAGTCAGCAAACAGGGCTAATTGCTAGTTTGGGGGATATTATGGGTAATTTACTGCCCACTGAGGACTTCTACCTAAAAATAAGCTTTTTTTTTTTTTTTTTTTTTCTTTCTTTTGGACAGGACTTGCATGTTAATGCAGAATACCTGATGCAATTATATGTGAAGAGGACATTCAGATGCACTTCTATAAATGGCCCTGTGCTTCTCAATTACATTAACTGTCTTCACAGATTCTTTAACAGAAATCATAGCCTTTTTTTTTTTTTTTTTCAAAATAACAAATAGGCATTAATCTCAACTTTGCTGTTACCCAAGATGTCTTGATCAAAGATGTGAGAGTAATACAATAAACACAAGAAAAGAAACTACTGGTGGTTTCCAATACAAACTAATGGAAGTGTCAAGTGAGCAGATACTGACAATTCAGCCCGCAAATCAAATGTGCGTGTCCAAAACTCCACCTTTGAGAAGGAAGAATAAATATCCACAGAATGTTTTGGCTATAATTACTTCATTGAGGGGGAAAAAAAATGAAAAGAAAAAGGCGCTGAATTCAGTTTGCTAAAGTCAAGACATTAATATTTTTGGCATGTAAAGATGTAAACCAAATGTTTAAATGAAATGTCATCCCTTGGGTTCACATTTGCCCATTGAACTACAGTACAAACCCTCCATAGACCTTCATACAATACACATTTTTCAGTTCATTGAAGAAGGCCCCTGCTGCTTCTCAAGGAAAACTAACTTGCAGAAGCAAAATAAATACTGGCGTCACAGTGTAGCAGTGGAGCCTTGCAAGCACAGATGTGTAGCATTGTCGGCTTTTAAATCAGATAAGGCGTATTCAGACATAATCACTCCAGTGTCTGGGACATGTTGCATGCTGCAGAGCTGCCCAAGTATGGCCCGACAGACACATGCAGTGTGTGTTCAAGCTAAATGGCAACAAGCTGACAGTATTTCATAACAGTCCTGTTATGTCTAGATAGGCAAATGTTTGTGTAATTTAGCTGTGACTTTGAAATAGCTTAAGAAATCGAGACACAAATGGAGCTTTGTGATTAGTTGTCAATGATGCCATACCTGCTGGATGATGATACTGCTGGAAAATACCTGGGTTGAAGGGGTGTCCCTGGGGTCCTGAAGCTGTGCTGCAAGAGGCATCGCCCCGAAGCCTCCATCCATCCCTTCGTTTGTCCATCTGAGGAGTGGGACTGCTATAGGGCTGCTCCTATAAAAATATATGGCCATGTAGTTAGACGGATGCCCTGGGCCTAGCTAAAGCCATGGCATGCAAAGGGTTGTTTTTGTCTGCTTGTAGCCAAGATACTGCTAAAAAATCAAAGTATATTTAACCCAACAGAAATAGTGCTCCCTGGGTCTGTGGTAGGCCTATTAAGACCTATGAAGTACCTCAGCAAGAGAAAATTCAACTTACATACAACACATGATTTTAGGTAAAGAAATATTGATAGGGCGGGGGGAACAAGTATTTTTTTAGCTCTAATTTATGGCTGAGCAGCTTCATTTTAGTTACTTCATGAGAATATTTTAAACCAAGCCTGCATAATATTAAAATAAGTTAAAATGTATGTAAAATTTATGAGAGCATGTCAGGTGCAATGCTTGATAAAGTAAGTTTAATGCTTCAGAATTTTTTTCTTCAGGCAGAGAAAGCTGAATCCTGCAATTCTAGGTTACAGTATAATTTTAGAAACTTTTCCATTATACCATTCTTTTATTAATGAGATCCAACCCAATTTAACGAAAAGAGGTAAATTCCTAGAGTTTGTGGAAAGTACTCAGCAGGTTGGAAGCCAGGAGCGTGTGATAAAAGAGGATATTTTCCTACTGTTCATGTGAAATATCCAATTTTATAAAAACACAGAGGAAATCAATTTACAACAAACTTCATGCGTGCTTCTTCAGTGTGGTTTTTCTGCTGGAAATGCTGCCTCACTCCGTGAACAAATAAAAGCTTTGGCAGTTGACAGGGACTGTACATCACTTTGAAAACTCTTCATTTACCAGGGGTGTGTCATGTTGTTTCATTGTGTGACACTCCCAATTATCGTGACAGAGCTAAATGACAAAGTACTGTCACCCCACTGAAAATTCAGAGCAGCTTCTTTCCATTTTTCTGCCTGGTCACGGGAACATTGCTGAACTGGTACAACAGAGCGGCAGGAGCAGCAAATGGGGAATATCTGCATACTGCTCTACTGTATTAAAAATTCAGCTCCTCGGCAATATTAAATCTGAATTTACTTCCATCAAACAGAAACTTAGCATATCTCATTCTTCCATTATAAAATATTGACATCAGAAATAGTGAATCCTGAAATGAAGATTACAGATGAAAACTATATGCTTGGTAATTATCATTTTTTTCTTTGTTATTATTCCTTTCCTCCGAGGATTGCACAGGCTGCTGCAAACAGTAATGAAGTTAGCATGCGATGCCAATGTAAAGTACACTGCAAAGTTATTCTTTCCCTCATTATAGATGAGGGAAGTGAAACAGCGGAAGCAGGGTGATTTCCCCAGCCAAACTCAGACACAAACGGGACAGCCCTCTGCACCTCACGTCTTAATCACTGTCCCCAGCGGTGAGACCAGTGCCATCCCTCAGCACCACCTTGCTTCCATCATCTTTTGTTCTACGCTTTCCCTAGGGTTTGTTTTAGGACTTTTCCTAGGGCTCAGAGCTGTTAATACCAACAATTTGTGTCACTAACTGAGCAGCCAGTTCACAAATGCTTTCATTGCTGACAAACCCACTGCCCAGCCTTGCAATGGTCTTGAATAGCCACTGCATGCAAAAACACAGTTGCAAGCATGGAAACGCCCGACCAGCCGTTCCTACAGCCCCTTCTTGGCTTGACACTGAAATCTGGAAGAGATCAATGGGTCAGCCAGCCTGCAGTAGGGTATCCCTTTGTGTTCCTGCATGTGGAGAGAGCTGTTATCACACAGCTTGGGATGGCTTTCCAACAGAACAGCCTTGTCATCACAACCTCGAAGTTCCAGCTTGGCCAATTAAGCTGGTGTCTCTCTCACTCTTAGGTAATTAATTACTCAGAGTGGTATTGCACAGCAGGACAGCTTCATTTGCAGGTGCTTGCTGAACATTACCTCCGCGTACTCTTGAACCTTGCCTTGTTGCCTATGGATGCTTTCGAGGAGTGTAATATATACAGTGTGTGACACCTGACACCGTATCTGTCTCGTATGCTTCTTACAAAAATCAATCTAAATCAATAAATTGTCCACCCTCCTCGTACAGTATTTGCACAGGTTCAAAGACAGGACCAATTATTCTTAAGGTTGAATTGTCAGGTGTCAGATGAGAATATAGAAGTTGAAGCATTATATTTAGGAACAGATTTATTTAGAGGACCTGAGAATTTTCTTTGCTATCAACAGGTCTATGAATAGAGCTTTTATAAATACATCCTGGTTGAAACCAATACTTTACAAAATGACAGAGGTTTGAGTGTTTTGTTTCTTTTTCTTTTCTTTTCCCCCCACAACTGAAATCAAATACCTGCCTGATAAAGTACGTAAACTAACATCCAGCCTCGCTGAAGTAATAGCAGTAAAACCACTGACCTTAAAGGGCTTTCGGTCCTGACCCTTCCTGCTGTGCACATGTTGCCTTTTTGTTACCTCATTTTCTGAGTACAGATAAAAATTCCCCATGTTTTAGCTATGTATAATAAATACATATCTTTATCATGCATTCAGTCTCTTGGGTTCAGTTCCAGCAATGAGACACGCACCCTCTCCCGGCCAGTATCACAGGTCTAAAGGTTACATGTGACCATCGTTGTCCCTGCCAAGACCACAGCACACAAATACCAAGGCTTATTATAATCACACACGATCTTCACAAGTTTAACAGTTCTTGTCCCAGAATACCAAAACCCCTGTCTTAGCACTCCCAGCAAATCAGCATGCATTATTGTTACGTGCTCAGATAGATACTACCATGATAGATATCAGATTTCTGCTCATGCCAAAATTTCAGCTAGCTGTTCCCTTGAGTATTTACGCTTGTGTACTGTATTTAACAACAGCCCATTCAAAATGCTCACAGCTCCTAGGAATGAAATGCACATAATTTAGGAATAGCTGCCTGGCTATTCAGGCATCATGCTGTGTCAAGGGAAAATTAAATCTTTGACTTTCCTCTCCCTTTTTTAAAACAAACCTGTAGTTTGCATCATATTTTGGGGAGCTGTATGAAAGTTTCATAAAGAGAAAGTAAGCATGGCATTTTTTCCCCTGTTTAATGGTAGTGCCTACCCATCAATGTTCCACAATGATACAGTAGTTAAAAAAAAAAAAGGTCTCAGCATGCAAGCATTGTATCACATTAAGAAATCAGGATTTTCTAGGCACTGCACAGCATTAATTACACTGAGCATGCTGCAAATTTAAATTAAATGATATGCCATGTTCTGTTGTAAATACCGAAGTGGAATGTAAGATACAGCCCCATATTAGCTTCTGATTGGCATTTGTGCAATGAACAGGATCATAAAATCTGTACAGTATATAATTTTTTTGTATCAGGAGCACCCGATACAAATGCACTTTTGTTTTCAGGCATACCTAACAGCACAGTTACAGGTCAGAACTTATCCTAAAGCTAAATTACTTATGCTAAAAAGAACAGCTCTTCCTCAAAAGTAGTGATAATAAAAGAAGAAAAAAAAAAAAGCCAAAAAAAAAAGCCCTTTTTGCCTTCATTCCCATTCTTAAAAAATAAAATAAAATAAAATAAAATAAAATAAAATAAAATAAAATAAAATAAAATAAAATAAAATAAAATAAAAAAATTAAATACAATAAACACAATCTAGATGGTTGAGGGGTGCCCAGAGGAAAATGGGGGCCGTGTGGGACTGAAGCAGGTCAGCATGAAGGCAACAGGCTTGATTTTGTCATGTGTATCAAGTAACCAGGTAAGATCGTACATAAGCAAATGCTGTGTGGGCTTCAGATCAGGTCTATTAGAATTTATGTTCTTTTTCTTGGCATAGGTATTTTACAGTCTCTTGTGATTTTATAACAACAGATTGAATTGTCAGGATCTCAACAGCCTCTGCTTTGAAACTACTGGATGAGGTGTATTTCAGCCTGTATTTCTATGTGATTAAAAACCTAACAAATATTCTAAATTACTGTACTTCAGAGAAAGTCTCTATACCTAACTGTATAGAGACGGCATGTTACAGTCTGTGTTTTCTGGGCTTATTAAAGGTCTTCTGAAATGATTAGCACTGAGCTGACAAGGACAAGTGATTGCCAGTGAATGGGCGTGAAGGCATGAGGCATAAAGGAGGCACAGCGTAAAAGCGTGGGCAGGGCTTTGCAGAGACACCAACATCTTCAAACCCAGTATCACTGTATTCTTTCTAAATTATCTTACCTTTTTTGTCTTTTGCTTTTAGGAGTTAACTTGAGTTTTCCTGGCACATTATGCAACACTCCTCTGTATATGAAAAATGCAAATTTTAAAAAAGAAAGAAACAAACAAAAAACAACCAAATTAAGGCCACCTGATCTCCCCCAGAACAACAGATGAACAATAAAACCAAGCTCAGGATGCCTCAAACTTCTAAAACTTCTTTTGCTGAACTTTTGAAGAAGAAATTCCTCTACAGCCTTCCTCAGGCAGTCTGAAATACACTGCCCTGTTTGAACTGTGAGTAATAATTTTAAGAAATCCTCTAGTAAAGAAAGGCTGTCCAGCTCGGCCTGCTAGAGATCACTTAAAATAATATTTGTCCCTTTTTCCGTTTGACCTTTTTCCAAGCTTTTACTGGACCTGTTTGGTGTCTCATTTTGCTGTGATGCTGTATGTTCTGGAAGCGGCTGATGACAATAAAATCTGATATATAACAGTAAAATGGTCGTTCCTTCTTACATCTGACAACAATGCCTCACTGCCACCAGGCCTGTCTGCACATTTATTATTTAAAGTCAGGCTTTTCCCCTGGAAGCTGGAAGGATACACTGAAGGGTGCCCTAACTTTCTCCTACCATCCAGAAGGAATTAGGTCAGCTGTATGAGATGGATACCATGCAACAACCACTTTCTGTAAGTAGCATGTGCCTGGCAGAATTAAGTTCAGCAGTGGGACAGCAACTCTTCAGACCTCTCACCATCTTTTAGTGCTTCCAAACAACAACAACAAAAATTCCAAAGACAGTAGTTTATAAACAGCCCAGGAAGCTCTTGGAAATTAGTGTAAAGTTCTGAAGGCAGAGCAGTGTGGGGCAATAACCAGCACACAATGCATTGCTATTGCAACAACAAACAGCTAAACTACCGTGTAGTTATTTTTCGGTATGTACAATTGTTGGAGGAGAATGTAAAATATTCTTTGAAGGAGATGTTGAAAGCGTTGTGCTTCCCCTAGCTGCCATGGTCCTGACAAGAAACAGCCCACAAATTCTAATAAATGGAAAATAGAAATAAATACTTTAACTATATGGCATAGGGTTTTGAATGGCTTTCTGAATCAGAAAGTGCTGTCTGTACATCTTCGTTATTTCTACACTCTGTAATGTTGGCTCTCCAAAAGTCAGAGACAAAGTGAGATAGATACTACAAGGATCACAGATACTACACTAGGAAACCAAATATCAGTGGTACATCCAGATTTATGGTAGAAGATGGCAGTAAAGTGAAAGCAAAACTGTTTGCACAGTACGTATTGTTGCCCATTACTGTGTGTTTGCCCTTTTTTCTTGCTTAGCTACAGCTGAAAGAATGGAAAATTGTACCTTATAAACAGTATTAGGAGACACTTTGTGATCGTAAGGTCAATCAGACTAGTTTACCTGCTTGAGGTATTTATGGCACAATCACTCAGTGTCTTTAAGGAAAGGTTAGATACATTTATGGGAAAGGTATTTTGCAGAAGCCTTCCTGTTTCATAGAGGTCTTGGACAAAATGACCCAGGAGGCCCCTTCCAAGTCTATCAAATGTGGTTTCCTGATTGATGCTGTTCCCACCCCCACCCCCCCCAAGCCTTTTCAAAACACAAAGCACTGTTATAAAATTTAATATGATACACTATATAACTTTTACACAATACCTTATAGGAAATGGTTAGCCGGTAGCACAGGAGCCTCACACAAAAGGAAGAAAAGAAGAAAAAAGAAATTGCAGTGCAGTTTCTCTGCCAAGTGTTATCGACTATAACATTTACACTGTTTCTTAGTATGGACCCTCATCTGTGCAGTGGGATACCAAGTCATGGAGGCATAAAAGTAACCTACACGGTAATATATATTTTTTCAGAAAACCTAATAAGGCCTGGGGTAATTTCCTATGCTACAATAACCATTCCCTCAATGCTGGAAAACAAATGGACGTCCAAGTCTCCTTATAAATAACTGCCTGGCACTGTAATTGGCAGGGCCCAACTTAGAGTTGCCTGAAGGCAATATTCAGGTGTTTCCAATCGCTCTTGGCATGCCCACAGGGCCACAATGCAGCCATGTCTTCCACCTATGGTCTCAAGACCTTCTGTGCTTACAAATGGTAAAAATTCCCAATATTGTCTTTTCAGGGCCATCAAACTGTTCAGCAAATTTAGCACTATTTCTCACTTTTTTTGTTTGTTTGTTTGTTTAGTTTGAGATGGTGTTGCTGAATGGTTCCTAAATGGCCTTATTTTTTTTTTCCAAAATAATAACGTTTAAAATTTAAGTCAATTTAATGAATTTTTTTTAAAGTTTCTCTGAGCCATTTGATTGAAATTCTGTGGTTGGCCTACATTGCTCAGTATTAAGCTTTAATTTTAGGTTCCCACAAGGAAAAAAAAAAAAAAAGAAAACTGAGTTGGGGTCCACTCTCAAAAGCAATTTACACAAACCTTTTTAAGTTACGCTAATTGATGCAGTTGAAAATCAAACTCCTCCTCCAAGCCCCATGTCTTCTCAACTTCTTGGACTGGCTCTGTCAGGAAATACAAGCATCCACCCACACACACTCCCAAGTCTTACAAATGTGAGCTATTCCCTTTCACAGGGCAGGCTGGGATTAACTGTTTTATTAACCTTCTAACCTCATCCATGAGAAAGTGAAATAGCATGTTTTTTTGTTGCTGTTTTGTTGTGTGCTTTTGTTTTGTTTTGTTTTGAGGCTTGCAGCCTTCATTACCTAAACATTTGTGAGCTCTAACTCTCTACAGAGAGGAGTGAAATGAGGACCATTAATGCTGCTGTCCACAAGGAGTTCCCTGTCACCCCATTTGGACCGTCCCATTGTGTTGTACTCAGTGTCAATGGCCATCCCTAAAGGCCTGTGATTTCACTCTAAAATATTTCCCCACTATCATGAGTCTTGGGGCTCGCTATTTGAATCATTTCTGTGGGAGCAAATAATAACTTTATGATTCTTTTCAACATGTTGTATTGGTGTATTTTCCTGATTTCTATGTCAAAAAAAGTGATTGATTTCAATCAAAACCAAAAATTTGACCTGGCTTTAATCCTGAAGATGGTACAGTTGCTCTTCCTTAGTTCTCACTTCATCATTGCATCACAGTCAGAATAGCTCTTCTCTCTGGAGTTAAAAATGGTAAAAATTAGCCCTAGTGAGAGATACAAGCAGAATTTTTCAAAGGGAAGAAAATTTATCTCCTGCTCTTTGTCTTACAATATGGTGCATTTTAGTGTTTGAAAGATTTAGTTTTCAAGCATCTCATATATATAAATCCAAGTGAACAACAGCTCTCCAGTGTCTTTTTTAAAGCAGTTGAGCTCAGCAACTGCAATCTGCCAGGGAATAAGGGTCAAGATGGAGAAGGCCTTTCCTGTAGCCTTCTGGTGTTGGTCAGGGGTCAGGCTTAGGAAACAGCCAAAGCAAAACAAAGGTTTCTCAGCTCTATCTCCTCACTCTGTTACACAAGATCATGGCTTTTTCACATGAGGACCCAGATTTTGGGCCAGCCTCGTGTTTCCTCTGCAGTTGCTTATATCAATAACTGTTTTGATAATACAGTTCCTCTTGAGGTTTCTCCTTTTGAAAGATTTATACTTGTTTTAGAAGTAACACAAACACTCCATTTTAGCTTTCAGGAGGCTAAGGCACCTAAAAATCTCAGATTATTCTTTTGCATAATGTTCACAGAAGGAGGTGGGGAAGCAGTGAGGATACAGTTGGCATTTCCATGCTGTGTAGCTACCTGCAAATGCCAGCAAAGATGAGAGGCGCTGGCTTGTGGGAACCCTGTGGACAATTAGTGGTGCTTTTTGGGGCCAGCCCCACTGGAAATGGCCAAAATGCAAAAAGCCACGTGGCCACCTTCCAATCTACCCATGGGTGGTGACAGCGAGAGATCCTGGGGCCCAGTGGCCTTCAGAAGTGCCACCTCCACCAGGATGTTTCTGCAGCTGAGCTGTCCACTTCAGTCCTCTCCCCAGGTCCCTTGTCAAGGCATTCAGGTACTACTTTGATGAGAACTTCCCAGCTGCCTCACTGGATAAACAGACGTGTCAGAGCTCTAACATGCAGAAATACTCTTCACACAAACAGGCAGAGAAAAAAGAGTGGTGGGAAGAGTAAAAGGCACCTAAAGAAATAGTACGAGCAATGATGGCTACAACTGATTTCTTCTTTGTCCCTTTGATCTTTGGAAATGGGACAACCCAGTCAGGATCATGGTTTTCCAGACTGGGCTGTATGCATCTTTAGTAGTGCCACAAAATAGAGCTGGTTTGCTATTGTTGCCTCCCCCCAAAAAAGCTGTTATTATGAGATCTTTGGGGGCCAGGAACTCAATTTCCCAGCTTTCAATTAATACTTCAATGATTACACATAAATAATAGTAATAATAATCATAACAATGCCTTGCTTTCCATTATGTTGTACTCAGTCTTTGTGATGCCTCTCTCATGATAAAATCTGTGTATTAAACACGTTAATTGAAACTCTTAATAAAACAGAGATATTTTCACTTGTGCATTTATATTCACATAATGATCACAAAGCACTTTACAGAATCAAATAAAGGTAGCTAGCTTGATCCTTATATAGAAGCAAACACCATTATAGTGCATCTTAGGAGTATATAACACAGCTGTCATATAGACAACTCATGTCAAACGTACCATATTTTGGGTGCTAGGCTGGCCAAACAGCATCCAAAAAGCTTGCTCTTAAGCTTGTTCTAAACATCTCTAATGCCATCATGAGGAACATGGCAAGAAGGGACTGGAAGGTCTGGCCTACCAGACTAGAAAAGAAGACAGGAGGGCTGGTGAGCAGTTGTGCCTCATTATCAAGATCCGTGCTTTGGAAGAAGGAAAAAAAAAAGTGATAATTTTGCTGGTTTACAAAAATAATGCATGGAAGTCTTGATGAATGCTGAGCAGCCTCCAAGGGGTCACTAACAGAGGACAAGGCAAAAACTGGCAATACATGATTAACATTAAATGATGCCTCCCGAGGTCTGGGAAGGGGTCTCAAAGCTTTGGGCCTCGTAATAGGTAGTTCCAGAGTTAAGAGACAGGCAAAGAGCTTTGTTCCTTCTTGTGTAATTGATAAATTACCATTGTTAGCACTAAACAATACTACCAAGCACAGAATAGAAACACGCTAATGCTTTATCCGTCTTAAGCAATTCTGCCCATGTGCTCACACTGTTCTTAAATGCGCTAGATATTTGTTTGACGAAACAATAAGTTTTAGAAAAGAGAAAAATAAGAACTTTAAAGATAATCAAAACCTTGACTACATACTTTACCACCGGCAGCTGTGAATAAGCTTCAGTACTCTTTATTTTTAACATTCCAGATATGTAATTTAATGCAGGTCTAATGACAGTCTCGAACATACCGCTTTAATCGAAATTGTTCAAGCTCTGTTCTGTGACAAGGGCTCACAAGCTACCAGCAGGGTTGTCCATTTTCCCTGCTTCTGTAGGGAAAAGAAAAGGGAGGGGAGGGGGACACTCTTGAACTTATGTTGCTATTGATGTGTAATATACAATAAAAAAACAGTTAAATTTCAATTACCCACAGGTAATTATAATTTTATTGTTTGACTGTACTATGGGGATTTTTGTAATTCCCAAGACTAATAATTTTCTATAATTTTACAGGTTGTCAAATAAACTATTAAAGATTATCTTTGAAAAGGATTCTGCAATTGTAAGGACATATCATACTGTTCCTGTACATTATTAGTAATTAGAGATCCCTGGATAGTGAAATATCTGCTCTATATGCTAGCTGCTGGATACCATATTTTCTCACAGCCTCCTGTAATCTTGAACCAAAGCTTTCAAACTTCACATCCATTGTAGTCTGAGTCACGTCCAAACTTTTATTAATATTCACTGAGCACTCATTAAGCAATTCTGGTGTGTTCGATACGTTAAATCCATGCTTCCTGATGGGGAAAAGCAAAGGCTCACAGGTCCATCCCGGTGTAGTGGAAACAAACACAAAGGGACTAATTCTGAGCTCTGTCACCTAATAGGGATATGGAGCAGAAGCAACATTTATACCAGAGCAAAAGATCTGAATTTTGAAGATACAACCAGATAAAATTACACGTCCCAATTTTATCCTAAAAATATCCATAGATGCAAATATGCTAGGGATCAGTAGGGGAGGAATGGGATAGGTAGAGTATCCAGCCCACAAGGAGCAGAAATTTGGGGGCACTCCCTTTT